AGAAGTTGAATTTAGAAATTTCTTTATCTTGTGAATAAGAAATTATCCAGAGTCCGCTTTTTTGGCTAATCAGTAAATATTATTGATTCAATTAATAAAATATAACCATAGAACGTTACTTCTAAAATCATTTCTATAATCATCACAATACCTATTATATATAAGACTTACCATTACTTTTGGTGAATATTTCTCATCATCCAAATTTTCCAGATCCGGGATGAAAATTTTAGACTCATGTACGTCTATATACAAATCTTGTGGTATCATTTCTGTAGAAGTTTTCTGAGATTATACCTTTTCAAAAATCGGTTCCTCTTTAAAGATTTCTTGAGATGACATCACATTGTTTAAACTTTCCCAATCCATATACATATCTTGCGGTATGCTCTCTATGTATAAAAGTTTCCTGAAAATAACAATCTTTTAAAAATTCCTTTTCCTTTAAAGGTTTCTTAAAATGATATCATCATTCAAGATTTTCAAATCTGAGATAAAAATTTCAGATTCATGCTGTAAGTCCATATACAAATCTTGAGGTGTTGTTTCTTCAGAAGTTTTCTGAGATAGCACCTTTTCAAAAGTTCATTCTCCTTTAAAGGTTTCTTGAGATGACACTTCTTCAAAAACTTCATGAGATGGAATTTTTTAGAAATTTTTGATATGTAATATTTGGACTTTTGAAGATCAATAATCAGTTTAGATAATTCATTAATTGCAATACCTAATTGATAATAAATAAATTTAATTATAAATTTATATATATAATTTGTTATAGTTAGAAAGTTGTACTTTCTTACAGGTTACTTGAAGATAAGAATTATTTAAAGATAAATAAATATTCAATAAATAAGTTATTGCTTTCTCATCAAGCCTACAACATACTACGTATACTATTCAACCTTATACACTTTATGGGTTTATTTTATTATAATCAGATCAGACTATTTACCTAGAGTAAAGCTTTTTCAATGCTGGTAAGCGTCTAATATAATCTGTGCATTTGTT